TCTTTTCACCTAGACTTACTGCCTCCAACAGCAAGATATACATAAATCCAGGCCCTCTGGACATGGGATAAAAATCTACAGGGAGTATTTTGCATATCACCATAATTTGATGGTCTGTGGTTTCTCAAGAAACAGAAATGTGAGAAACATGTTGACAGTTCAGTCTAATTCCAGAATTCTTTTGACTGTGTTGTACTTGCTACTTGTTAGTACTGCACACAAAAATAACTTCCCTCGACCTAAAGAAAAAAGAGAAATTTTTAATTATTTTTTTTTTTTCTGTGAGGTGAAACTCCTCTGTATCACTAAGGAATATGGAGCTAAAATTTACTTTATACACTGCTCTCCATGACAGGATATTTGTGAGCATGTGTTCAAGAGACAGATGAGGGTTTGAGGATCATTTGAAAAGATCTCTCTTATGATAACAACAACATACGATGTATTAAGGTACAAATAATGTTGTAGGCCTCTGTGTGATAGCTACAATAACACAAGTTAATCCTATGGACTATACCAGCTACTCCGGTATAGAGTAGCAGCATCTTTGTAACATATGTGATCCTCTGCACTAACCCAGAATCACATGGTGACTTTCCTGCCCTGGGGTTCAGACCAGAATAACTCTGAAAAATTATACAAAAGCAGCTGGACTTCAGAAATAATGAATGAAAAATAAAAGAGTCTTTTCCAATATCATCAGGGAAAAGAAAATGCACACGAGCTATTAAAGATATATAGCCATCGGGGGAAAAGGCAACAAGATTGGGTTTTATAAACTCCTTTGCAGGTGGAACTTGATCAGTATTCTCATTTTAAATTTCCTGAACATCAGGAAACTTTTTCTACTTTGAAACTTCAGACAACTGCGCTGACAAGAAACCTTGTGCAATAGCATTTCTTTGTTTATAATCACTAATCGTCTTTCTTATCCTTGATGGATAAATCCTAAATTTAAGATGCTAATTAGCCATGCCCTGCTCACTTCACAATGCCAAACTGTTCAGCAATAAACTCTAGGGCAGGCTATTCCAACTTCTTGACAAGAAGAGATTAGGTTATACTACTGGTACTTATTTAGGGGCCAGATGGCAAAACCACCTTGTAGTGAAAGATAACACCACAGCAGGACAGAACTGACCTGTGAACACCCCATGGAAAGCTCTATCAGTTTAAGAACAGAGATAAAAGTCTGGAAGACAGAAGTCTTCTGCTTTCTATTCTCAGACCAGCAAATGATATGCCATGTGAAAAAAAATATTGAGGACAATGATGTTGGTTACTTCATCCCCCATATTCCCTACCTACAGATACGGCTGCCTACAGATACACAGCTACATGAGCAGGGGCTGAGTTTCCAAGATTTCGTCAAAATTTCAGAGAATCTGGAACCTTGCATTTCTGCAAAACAAACCAGGGTTGTAAGGAGCCTGGCCATATCCCCATCTCCATTTTTGCTGAAGTACCTCACAGGGACCTTGTAAGAATTCAGTAGCTGCAACAGGAGTTCACACAAAAAGATACTCAGCATGGCTCACAGCCCATCTATTTCTACTCCTATAGTCATGGGTAACAGAGCTGGACTTTTTATTTGCTTCTTGATACAAGAATATGCAGAGCAGAGCATAAGCTAAGATGATGCAAGGGACTGAAAGACACGCTGCAGATGAATCTTCTCTTACCTCCTGCCATATTCTATCTTCGAAGAAACTTAGAGACTGCATTGGAAGCAGCGTCTTCAACTCCCTCTTATTTGTATGTTTATGAAAACATATTTATCTTTCTCCAGGGTGACAGTAGCAATGCTCGACTTTTTAGACCAAAGAGTCTCACCTCCAGCCTCCACATGTCACACCCAGTCATTTATGAAAGGTGTCTTTTTTTCCTTCCAGTTGGCAGGCAGTTTAAGTTCTGCACTGATTGGTGACAATTCAAGACATTTTTTCTCTTTGTAGTCTCTGTATTGCCCAACTCTGCTACGTTTCATCCACTCCACTCAAGCTCAGGAACACTGCCTGATGCATTACCAGATGCAGCTCAAAATCGTCCCGTACAATAACACTGCTTTGTATCTCCATCACATTTTGCCCACATTGCTTGCCCAGGCAGATCTGCTTCAGGTGAAAGGCTAATGCAATTCTTGCCAAAAAGATATCCCCCCCGCTTTTTTCCACAGTTCTTGCCAAAAAGATATCCCCTGCTTTTTTCCAATTTAGCAAAAAAACATAGAAAATATTGATGCCTTTGGTCACCCTGGAATTTTCTCACAGCCTTTCTAGGAACAAGAAAGGACAGCTTTTTGCAATCCCATTATTACACGTGTGCACAGTTATAAGAAAATTCTCTGAAGGGACATCAAGCAAATAATACCAATTTTCAAAATTCTATAGCAATATATTTATACAAATTACAGAATTCTGTATGTATTTACACACCATTACAGAATATCAAGTAAATAACACCAATTGTTCTTTTGTTTTTCCCTCAGATTTTTCTTCAAGTGAATTTCAGTGTTCACGAAAGGTGCTAGATAGACAGCACTAGAAAATGAAGACTTCTGTCTGTCCACTGCACAGGAGGAGCAGCACTGCAAGCCTCCCCGCTCCGCCATGTTAGCTCTCTTCAGCCCTGTTTTAGCAGGATCACGCAAGGAGCAGGATGGCATCCGTACCCCTTTCATGCCTTAGCAAAGAGGCTAAGCAGCACCCAGGTGATGATGGTTTTGCCCATCCCCCACCAGAAAACAAACAGAAATAACTCATTTTGCACAAGTGACTGAACAGAATCTGTTGTTCGCTACCCAAAACAGGCCGAATTTGACCCAGTGAACCTGCAGGGAGTGGAAACTGCAGCTCCTGGACCATCCAGTCTCGCAATAATGCATATGTTAAATTACGTGTTCCTATATTTACATAAAGTCAGTATTTACACACCATTATGGATTATTTGAGTAAATCGGTTACAGTTTATTTATATGGGCTGCCATAAACTCATAACATTTTTCTTGGGTTTAATCCTTTCTTTAGAAAAATACAAAAAAAATAAATTAAATAAAACATGTTAACTAGTAGTAATGATTTCCCTATGACTAAAAATCCAAGTCAATTTAACATTAAGACTCAAACTGTGGCCTAGTATTGTGGCCTCAACTCATAGTATTTTTAACCTTTGCAATTAATTTCCTGGTGTATGTCAGATTTACTGAAAAAGCAGAGAGTTGCAACCTCCCTTTCTTGCAGTAGGATTGATCTGTTTAACACTGAGCAATGAACCCTAGTCCTTCCCAGAAGCTTGCTTTCTTCTCCTATGGTCCAGCATGGCTTTGCACTGCCCAGACAAATGAGTCAGCACCCTGTTGACCTACAGCAGCCAAACTACCTGCAGGTCTCAGCAGCTCCAAAGGGTTAAGAAAAAACTCATGGGTTGCGATTGAAGGCTGCAAATTCCCAGGCAATAACAGTCCCTAGACAAGTATGTCTAACTGTATCCTACAAATCAACTAACGTAATTTACATATCTTTATCATTCATAAACAATTATAATAAAATGTCACATTTTATTTAAGATTACTGATATTGCCAGTTGAGACGTGGCCCCTCCTACCTGCTTGAGTACAGAAAGGTCACATTCGATCAAGACACCAAGCCACAGGTTATTCCAGAGCAGAATTACGTTTCAAATAATATATATCACATGGACAAGAGTGCCTCAGAGCAAAAATTACTTCATTACAAATAGGCTACAAACTCATGTATAGCTCCTCCAAAGTACGTCTGCGCTCAGCCTCTGTGCCTCTGTGGACAGGCAGAGCTGTCAGGACCAGCCATGCTCCCGATAGATCCAATAGCAAAGGTTACACTCAACGTAGTAGCACTGGATTCAAATCCTAAGGGATACAACGACTACTAAATGCATTTGTCATATGGACCTTACGTGATTTTTTTCTCCCTTCAGGGTACTGGGGGGAAAATGGTTCTTCCGAAGGGGTAATTCCCAAATGGTAACTGCTAATCAAGGTGTTTGTGTGCTTAACATAAAATGCTACAATCCCTTAAATATTACATACTGTCAGCTCACTTATGGTTCATGAATATTTGAACATACTTTAAGGAAAAAAAAAAAAAAAAGAAAACAAGTCTAATACTGTCCCCCTCATTGTCATTATTGATAGAGATTTATTAGTTTCATTTTGCAAGTTTTACTTTAGGAAGGGTGCTAATATCATGTATTATGACAGTTCACACTGAAAGCAATTTTTCCATAAAAGATGTTACAATGACCCCTATGGAACTTGTATAATTTCATAGTAGATAGTCAAGTGCACAAATAAACATGTTTACAAGAGTGATCCTGTTAACCTGGTTCTTGCCCTCTGAAACCCTTGTGTGCTATTTGTGGAATCCTAAAATTAGTACAATTGTTGATATTACTTATGTTGTTTCTGGCATTCTGCTTTAGGAAAAAAAAAAAAGCATATTTATCATTTAGCTTTGGTATAATCTGCAATAGGTTTTAACAAGTAGAATATATTCCAACCCCTATATTTTCCACAGCTGTGAAGTTTACAATGATGTAAGAAGTCATTTTATCAGAGAGGAAATATTACAGACACATAAAAAAAGTTGAAGACCCAGTTTTCTTTTTAATCCTCTGGGGGTAAGCTATGAAACAAGCAGTCAGAAGAGTGAGGACTCAGTGTCATGAGTGGTGTGCATACTTGTACAATAATACGGGCACAAAAGAGATTGTCACCTTTAGTACATGAGGGTCACTAGAATTTATTATTATTTTTACCTTTTTATTGTTTTGTTTTCTTTTTATCCATGCACCTTTATATTTACTTGCATGAATTTACCACAGGTTCATAGTGGCCTTTGCCATTTTAATGCTTACAGAGCCTAAAGCTTCCAAAATGCCTATCTGGCCTGTACATATTTCATTAAAAATAAACTCTATATAATAAATAAATATATAAAATAAATAAAATGTTGCCTTTGGAATTTCTATAAATAAATTTAACTTTTTATTTTTATTTTTTTACTAAGAGGTCTTTGCTTTAAACTCAGTGGGGTGAGACCCAGAGAGTGATTAACTGAAAAGTCTCTTGTTTAAGTAAGACTGCACCCTCCATGCCTTTGTAAATGCAGCGTACACTTGAGCAGGCCACCAGCCAAAAATCCTGATGAATCGAAGTATGGCAGCTATGCTGATATATGACAAAGTACAACTGATCAAAAATTTAAAAGCGTGTCTATTCCCCAGCATGCATCAGGCCTTCCTCCTCCTCCTCCCCTTGGCTCCTCTCTCTCGCGCTCTCACTCCCATTCATCCTCTCCCTTTCTCTCTCTCTCTCTCTCGCACTCACTCTCTCACGCTCCCTCTCGTACTAAATCAAGCGAGTGGGCAAAGGCTCTCCTCCAGGAGGACAAACCTTTAAGTGCAGAACAAAATCAGCATGTTCCATCCAAGCCTCCATCATACATTATGCATGCGACAAAGTTTGGCAACAGTGGAGCTGATGTGATGACACAGCTAATCAATAAGAACCCACCGCATGAAACCTTTATAGTGGTTACTTTTTAAGGGCTCAAGTGAAGGAATTGTCTTTGTCAACTTTGGCTTAAAATATCCTTATATAGTTCCGGTACTTTCTCAGGGTCCACTGGTCTAGGTAAAAAATGTGTAAATTTTTGATGCCTTTTAGTCCTAGTCCCTTCTCTTGGAGTCCCATCTTTATTTAACGCAACGTAGTATCGTCTTCCAGTGTCCACATGTTTATATAGATTTGAGGAATATGTGTTATACCAGTTTTCTTCAAACTGCTCTCTGAATACACACTCCTGGGTTAATTTTTCCTATGGAAGGAAAAGAAAAAGCATTAAGGAGATAGATAGCCACAAACATAAGCTATTTTTAAAAGAATTACTGTTTTCACAGCTTGAAATACATACCTCCTTGCTCAATTCGCAAAATGAACCATTTCAATATTCCCAGTTTTAACTAAGTAGAGCTGTATTGCTGGGTATTACATTAAGCAGTCACAAGGGTGGATAACTATGTGAAGAAAAAATGATTCTCCAAAAGCCTCGTTGCCCAAATCAAAACAGCAACAACAAAACTGAAAACAGGTATTTTAATTTCTGATCATTCCCAAGCAGCTCACAAGACATTACTGGACTTGTGTAGGACATGAGTGCAGACATTCGAACAAACAGGCATAAATAAAGAAAACTAGAACCGTTTTGCAGGGCTGTAATTCAATTTAGGGCCTTAAAATATATATGTCCTTTCATTGTGTGGAGAACTTGATGCATTTCATTAATTTGAAAAGATACAATTTACTACCTTTGTGTGGTTTATTATTTGTATCACAGAACCACAACCCAGGACAGCTTCAAACAGGAGCACAAACCCCATGTGTTGAGATGAAGTTAGGTGAGGAAACTCCTCCGGGCTTGCTTTACTAGGGTTGTCCTCATGTCCTGTTCTACTGACGGGACCCACTGAAGACATCAACCATTCATCAGATCCTCCTGTCACAGACTCCCACTCCTTCCAGTTCACCCACTTATTCAGCCTGTGTGTACCTCTCTACACCCTTTTGGTCTAAATAGATAGAATCTTCTTGAAAAGCAGCCACCTGATAACCAGATTCCTTTTAGGAAGGACTCACACAAGTGACTGAGCAAGAAGACTGGAAAAAAGGTGGTGAGGTCTAGCATGGGTGAGCTGATGGAAAGCTGAGAAAAATATGCCTGGAAATAGTCTTTTCAGCTGGCAAAAAATAAATAAATAAATAAATAACGGTAATTGAATACATTTTTTCATAACAGGAGTTCTCACTTGAATAGCACTCACATCAAACCAACTCAGCTTCCAATTGAGGATCGATTTCTAATTATTACAAAGCCCTGCACAACATCGACTCCTGTGCATGTGTTTTACAGACGTTAAAACAGTCCTTTTAGATATATACACAAAGAAGGGAAAACAGAGACCAAGGCCCAGATGCAGCAAAGCATTTATGGCATCTAAGCCGTAAACGTGTGCCTGAACACAACCAAGACACCACAGTACAAGCTCCAGTGCCCCCAAGAAGCCCCCATCCATGGCTTAAGCCAGGAGCTTCCCAAAACCCACCATTACTGAAGCTTGCAGCTTGCCCTGGGGCTGCATGTGCCTTGGTGGCCACTTCTGCTGCTCAGGACTCAGCTCACAACCCTGTCCCAAAGTGATGTGCTTCAGCCCAGATGTTTCACTGCTGCTTTGCATGGCAAGCATGCTGGTCCCAGGGTAGAGCTCTGCAGTCCACCAGGGTTGAGGACTTGGGTCCCAGCCAGGTCTAAGCAGCCCTACACACCTTACAGGAGTCACCCAGGAACCATCCCACATGGGGAGAGCAACTCCTGTGCAAGCGAGGAGAACAAGCCAGCACCCCTCTGCAGCCCTACGAACTCCACAGTGCCTGAAGGCTTGGGATTTGGGTGTTTCTTCTAAATTCAACCTGTGGCAACTCCAGTAGGCAAGAAAGGCAGCAAGGAAGCAGCTCCTGAGTTCCCCTTTGATGGATATTGGGAACCATGTCACCCTCAGGAAGCAGAAATCCCTGACAGGACCAGGCTGCAGATGTTAAATACCTGAGTATTCACTATGGCACCAGCCATGTCCCTCTGTGGACCCGAGTGGCTGGAGCTTGCACAGGAGGAGCTTGTGGCAGAGAAGATGACAGCAGTCCCATCCCTCGCATCGTCTCCTGCAGTTCAACCAGGAGACTACCCTCCCTGTGGGTCTAGCTGAGCAGAACATGCGGAAACACAAGCATGTGCACAGGCCGGCTGTATATAGCAATTTATTTTAGAAGCGTCTCTGACTATAACATTTTTAATGTGAGAAGTAGCTCAAACACAGCAATACTCCGTACTGGTTATAGGAAAAAGAAGCACAAATCTGTTTGCATTAAATCCTTATCTGTGGGCCAGATCATGCAGCCTCCTATCAATAATTGCCTCTATGCCCTTTGACAGACAGAAACTGAAGCAGCAATAAGTATTACAGGACCTCAGTAGCAGCAGCTGAAATTTACACACATTGCAGTAGCCCCCTTGCACAGCCTTAGTGTACAAACTATCATAAAATATATTCAGCTGCTACAAAGACTGTCTTTAAGCATAGCTTTCATTAGTGTTTTATTTTGCACGAGGTTTAAAATCACTTTGTTTGCTTTAAGGCAGAAGCAGATGCTAAGGGCTATAATACACTGGGCCTATAGGTCCATGGGGAAAGAGAAACTAATTCAAATTGTTTTCCTGCTCTCAGAAGGCAATAGGATCACATGACAAGCACTGCAGAAGCACTCCTTGCTAAAAATAGCAACATTTTAGGAATATATTTCAGTCTTGTCTTGAACTCATTAATTATTCACTTCATCTGCATTTTTTTTAGCACCATCATAAATTTCTATCTTTGCAAGAACAGTACTTCCCCATGCCCTGAAGGAGAAATTTTAAAATAGCCTGTCTTTATCTGGCAGGTTTGATGGATCATGACAGTGCTGTGGTACACTTAACTAGCAGACCTTGAATAAGGGGGTTTGCATTGCACTGCGCTCTGGATGAGTTCAGTGGATTCCAGGCTTACAAATTCAATCTTTATTTTACAAGTTTTTCCTGTTTTTACTTTTCACCCTCTTACAACACAGCTATATCTCTTTTGTCCTTCACCAAAATTCTCAGAAATTCATGTATAGACAGTAGTCAAATTCTTCAACATGAACTTGACAGAGCAATCAGGATGCAGGTTCAGATATATAGGGACATTAACAATAGGGACCATTTCCTTGCAGGGACACCTAGAAATTCTGGCTGTAATCAGAGGCCACTGGAGTAAACCAGTGTCATCGTCTTTGGATCAAGCCCTGTAAATAATGTGAGGACCAAAATCCCAGCATACCTTTCTTCCCATGCCCTGGGAGATCCTTACAATAATGGCACATCTAGTACCACAATTGACAGAAACCAGTACCCACTAAGATGGTCATCTATGTAGAATCATAGAAATCACATAGGTTGGAAAAGACCTTTAGGATCAGAGTCCAGCCGTTAACCTAGCACTGCCAAGTCCACCACTAAACCATGTACTACCACACCACTACTTAACACTAGCTTACATTCATGTTTTGAGCACACATGCCTTTAATCAAGCCAGAAATGGGCATAACACAGTGGTGAGGCTGGTCGATCCTGCCAACAAGCACCTTCTTGCCTCACCAGCTAAGTATGGGAAAAGTCTTGCTGAAAGCCAACTCTCCCAGTATAGGAAGGAGATGGTGTTTCCTGATCAAAAGTGGCTTGCATTTCCCCTTCTGGCTATGACTTTTAGAAAGTCCCTGTATGCGCAGTCAAAAAGCAAGACTTAGCCCTAGAATATAGCAATTTTTGCAGACTTTTATTCTAGCAACTGACTTCTCTATCATTTTTCCAGTGCCAATTTCCTTGCACCATACTTAATGTCACTAGACATCTTTGTCAAAGGCTGACACAAATACCAAACATACCCAACTGGAACAGCTATGGAAAGTAACCTGCATTCTTGTTAAAGGGGAGGCTGCCCGCCTTGATCAAATCATTTAATTCAGGGGCCAAATAAGGAAGTGACCTCAAAATTATATAAATCAGATGTTGCACCACGTACCACATGTTTTCTATGAGTTGGACTCGATGATCTTGAAGGTCTCTTCCAACCGAAACTGTTCTATGATTCTATGACTGTTCATAGAGTATTCCACTACAGAGTGACTGGTTCTCATTTTACTACATTTCCATGCTTTACCTGGGTTTTTTTCACCTGTTATTTAACTCAGAACATTCAAATAATTGACTTGTGCAAAGATGCACATATAACAAGGGCAGAAACCCAAGGCAGCTGTGATTCAGAAGTCTGCTAATGCCTGGTCAGTGTTAGCAGGCCCAGAATCCGTTTCCCTTCCCACATTCTCCACTATCTAACCGGGGAGAAAAATAATTATGTTATCCTGTTTCCAGGTAGATTGATTAACAGTGAGATTGTAAATTAATAAAGTACATAGTTACAGCCAACAAAACAAAAGATTTGCCAACTTGTTTAAAAATAGATATCCTTATTAATTCCAGTTAATTGGAAATAAGTGAAAATAGACAAAACACATATACACTGCCCAGAGAATGGTTTCATGACTCTAAAGAATGGTGAGACATTTGTGCTGCTTAGTAAAGCATAGTACAGCGATCTATATAAAACAGGTCAATGTTCTTTTTTTCTTTTAAATAACCTTACAGATCCTAAAACTCTGATTTATTTTGTAACCTGACAAAAGGAAACCTCTTCAGACCATCATTCCTAAAACCACAACAAATACATTTCATGTCTAGCAAACTATTCTGTTCTACGCTGTGCATAGTTTTCTCTTTTGTAAACTGCTACACTGATTCAACAGAGACACTTCACAAGAAAACACCTAATCCAGAAGTCCAAACAACTATAAACAAGAAGTATATTTGATGTAGTCAGCACTTCCTACATACCTGCTGGATGTTATCACCGTGTTAATCCACCCTGTCTTAACAAAGTAATGTTAAATATAGTCTCCTAAATACGTTAATGTAGATCCCTCATTATGGCTAAATAGTGTCAATAAAAACTCCATATGTAGTGAAGAGAACTAACAAAAAAAGTGCCCTGTTCTCTTCCAAGTGTTTTTCTTTGGAAAACACAAACACACACATTTTACATGCAGTTGGCCCTTCCCATGCTGTAATGCAAACAGCCTCTAGAACATACCACGTTCAGCTAATAATTAACACTCATCCAGAGTTGTCAT